TCTGATTATCCTAGAAGATCCTCTGAGATACCTATATCCTTTAATAATTCATTTCTCCTAAATACTAACTGGAATGGGTTCTGTTGATTTTATTACTTATTGCTCATGTGACTTTAAGCAATAATTTATTCTGAGCCTTCAATTCCTCACCTCTAAAAATGGAAGAAATAATAACTCAATAGGAGCTGCTATGATGATTAAATGTGGTAATGCAGAAAAATGCTTAGCATAATGACTGATCCTTAGAAGTAAGCTTTTTAAAAAACATCTTCATTTTATTTATTTTACTTTTTTATTTTTTTATCCTCATCCAAGGATATGTGTTTTTTTAATTGATTTTATTTATTTATTATTTTTTTAAAAATTCTTTATTGTTGAAAGTATTACATATGTCCTCTTTTTCCCCCCATTGACCCCTCCAGCCCATCTTCACCCCAGGCCCTCACCACCCCATTGTCTGTGTCCATGGGCCATAAAAAGCATCTTCTGTTTAAGCTTTGAGTTTTATGTTTTGATGATATAGCTTCTGGGAGCTCACAAAGAGCCAGATCATTGATCATAAAGACCCCAAACTCTTAGAAACACTGGTGGTCTTGGCAATATACAACTGTATCTAGCTGGTTACTCCTTGTTGGAAAAAGTAATTCACTGTGCATAATATAAGAACACAAATTAAAAAATGTACTCTTCTCTGCCTGCCAAAGAGGGTTTTTAAGGGGTCTGCTCTGTTTCTTCCTTCTCTGGACCTTCTTGTTAGACATGTTCTTTTGAGCTTTTGAAATGAAAAGGGAGAGAATGAAGAGGGGTGTGGATGGACTAGGGCTAAAGGAAATACATTTCCAAGGAACTTTTGAGGAGAACATTTGGGGAAAGCTATCATGTGAGATAGAAGCTTATAGAAAAGAAAAGAAATTTTTAAAAAACATATCTCTGAAAAATTTCCCCACATACTGTTTAATTAATGAGTTTAATCCTCAATATACCACCAATGTTCATTGGACCCAATGTAGTTTTGAATTTCTGTTTTTGAGCCATTATATTAATAAAAATCTATGTTTCATGGCCTTTATTCTTTCTAAGAAGTCTTATAAAAACCAAAATAATATATATTTGTTTAAAAAATAGAATGAAACTCATTCTATCTTGCAAATACAATACAGATCTATTGGAGCCTTTTCAAATCTAGGCTGTATTGTGGGATTGCAGTAACCTTATTTTTCCTATATTGAAACACATTGTTACTTGATCATTCTAGGAATTTTTTTATCATTATTCATCAATTCTTTTCAATGAAGACTTTAAAGATTAAAAAGAAAAAAGTGTGGCCCGGCAGGTGTGGCTCAGTGGTTGAGTGTCGACCTATGAACCAGGAGTTCACAGTTCCATTCCCGGTCAGGGCACATGCCCAGGTTGTGGGCTTGGTCCCCAGTGAAATTGCCTAGAGGACAATACAATCGTAAAATTGATACTTGTCCGTCATTTTCTCATTGTGTTGCCAGAAGTATCATCTTTCAAGGTATAGAAGAGGAGACACCATTTTTATAGCCTAGTTTTGGCTTTCATTAAACACAGCTGTGAATACTAAATTTTTTTCCATATATAATGTCCAAAGAGAAGAAAATTGATAGAGGAGGACATTTCACAATTCTTAGACAAATCAGAAGATGAATGTGAAGAGCAGCATTCTTGACCAACACTGTCCAATGCAGTAGCCACTAATCATATGTGACTTGTCAGTACTTGAAATGTGGTTAGGTTTTTTTGGTTTGTTTTTGTTTTGTTTTTTTAAATATTTTATTGATTTTTTTACAGAGAGGAAGGGAGAGGGATAGAGAGTTAGAAACATCGATGAGAGAGAAACATCGATCAGCTGCCTCCTGCACACTCCCCCACTGGGGATGTGCCCGCAACCAAGGTACATGCCCTTGACCAGAATCGAACCTGGGACCCTTCAGTCCATACACCGATGCTCTATCCACTGAGCCAAACCAGTTAGGGCGAAATGTGGTTAGTTTTAATTGAGATAAAATATACACAGAGTTTTGAAGACTTCTTAGCACAATAAATAAGAATGTAAGATACCTCAATATGTTTTATATTGATTGCATATTGAAATAACAATATTTTTGATGTTAGGTTAAATAAAATATATTATTAAAATTTACTTTCACCTATTTATATATTTATTTGTTTAGTTAGTTAATCTTCATCTGATGATATTTTTTCCATTGATTTTTAGAGAGCATAGAAGGGAGAGAGAGAGGAGAAGAGAGAGAAACAACAATGAGAGAGACACATGGGTTGGTTGTCTCTTGCACACTTCCCGACTGGGGTTGGGGATTGAGTCTATAACCGAGGTACCTGCCCTTGACCAGGAATCGAACCCAAGACTCTTTTGTGCACAGGCCAATGATTTAACCACTTAGCAACACCAGCCAAGGCTATTTAAAAATTTTAATGTGACTACTAGAAAATTTAAAATTACATGTATGACTTGTAGTATATTTCTATGGACAGTGCTCTTCTAGATACTAGTGTTGACAGTGGAATTAATTATGTTAGTGAAATAGACTATGAATCTTCAGATCATGACTCCTAGAAACTTAGATGAATGTCTTCAAACTCATGAATCAGTGAGTGAAAGGCATATCTCTAAGGACAAAAAAGGAAATAGGGTATCTCATACAGCAAAGACTATCACACAATAGTTGGTGATAAGAACTTGGACTTTTCCTGTTTGTTAAGAGGATATGTGATGGCTTTCTTTTAAATGTTTACCAGTATGTGCCAAAATTGTTACTTGATACAAGATTTTCTATGTTTAAATTCTTATTAAAATTTCTAATGATTTTATTAACTATGCCATTATCCTTATGTAAATTATTTGAAAAATGACTTTAAAACAATTTTTGATGGGGTTATTTGATCCAGATGGTAAATGATGATGACTGGTTTTCTAGTATACTTAAGGGTTAAGAACTTGAGTAATTTGGAAGTTACCTTGTGGATACTAAACTATTTTATTTCAAGTTCTCAAATCTAACCATTTGAAGCTCAGCATTACATGTTAAGCAGCCCCAAAGTAAGTTATTATGGGAGACTTTTTTTCTAAATTTTCAAGATTATTTAAAAAATACACAAGAACACATTTGAAGACACAAAGGCCAAAGCCTGCTTTATTCCAAAGGAGAGAAATGAATAGGACATAGGCATTTCTATTTTAAGGAAGTGTCTAAGTAGTGATAGCCCTTAGGGTAAGCAGCCTGTTCTAGAAGTTATAGCATTTTTCTTGGGCATTCAAGGCAAGCAAAACAGGACTTACTCCTTTCCAAAGAATGTTTCTAACCCACATTTAATTTAAATATATCTTACAAATTAATTTTATTTTGCATCAAGAGCATTTTCTTCCCTATCTGAAAAATGCAATGTGTTCAGCTACTCAATAACAATGAGATCATGCACATCTCTACTGGGTGCCTTTTGTGTGTAGGTCCCAGGACTAAACCCTGGAGGATAAAGATGAGTTAATCAAATTCCCTACCCTTCAGGAGCTCATAGTGGGATAAAGGTTGAGAAAGGGTGGAAAGATATTCAGATAAGTGAACTTCAATACTATAAAAATGAGAGGAAAAAGGAGAAAATACATGTATTAAGCATCATCTCTGTGGCACAGATTTTCTATATATTATGTCCCCCAAATCCATACAATATAAAAGGTATAAAAATGAAAGTGAAAAATCATTCATAGCCCTACCATCCAGAGATTGCAACATGTTATGGATTGATGTTTGTGTCACCTGCTGCCTCACATTCACACGTTGAAGCTGGGATTCCCAATGTGATAATATTAGGAGTTGGGGCCTCAGAAGTCATTCAGTTTAGATGAGGTCATCAGGGTGGGGTCTTCATGATGGGATTAGTGTCCTTACAAGAAGAAATCAGTGGGCTCTCTCCTTTTGTTAACTTCTCTCTCTTCCACTGCTTCCCAACCTACCCCCCATGTGCGATAAAGCAACAAGGCAACCATCTGCAAGTCAGGACCCAATCATGCTGGTACCCTAATCTCTGACTTCAGGACTGTGAGAAACACATAAATGTCTGTTGTTTAAGCCACAAGTCTGTGATATTTTGTTAGTGCAGCCTGAGCTGACTAAGACCACAATTGGTGCGTTCTTCGATAGACTTCTGTGTGTGTGTATGTGTGTGCCTGTAAGATGTATAGCATATAAAACATTAACTCATACTATACATGGTTATATCTGATTAAATTATGACCACTTTCAGTGAACAATATATCATAGGTACAATCTATATTTGAATGATGATAGATATGATTTTCTATAATTTTTAACTTTAAAAAATTACAATTTTTTTATGTTCACAATAAATTTTACTAGGTACAAATGCAGTTTCCCTACTGTTGGACAATCCTGTAATAAGCATATTTATACATCTATCAACTTGTTTTCTTATTTAATACATATGAAAAAAGCGGTTACTGGATTTTAAAGATTATATTCTTGATACACATTTAAGATTGCATCTCAAAAATTAACACACCCACCAATACTATATGAGAATCATAGTTTTCTTTTTTTTTCTTTTTCTTAAAATATATTTTATTGATTTTTTACAGAGAGGAAGGGAGAGGGATAGAGAGTTAGAAACATCAATGAGAGAGAAACATCGATCAGCTGCCTCCTGCACACTCCCTTCTGGGGATGTGCCTGCAACCAAGGTACATGCCCTTGACTGGAATCGAACCTGGGACCCTTCAGTCCATACACTGATGCTCTATCCACTGAGCCAAACCAGTTAGGGCAAGAATTGTAGTTTTCTTATACATTTTCCTATAATAATATTTTCAATACTTTTTAATAAGTAATTTTATTTATTTTTTAAAATTAAATTTATTCGGGTGACATTGATAAACATGACCATATAGGTTTCAGGTATAGGTTTCTATGTTACAAGATCTGTATATTGCACTGTGTGCCCACCACCCAAAGTCAAATCTTCTTCCATCACCATATATTAGGACTCCCTTCTCCCCTCACCCCTTCCCTCTGGCAACCACCACACTGCTGTTTGTGTTCATGAGTTTCAGTTTTATATCCCACATATGAGTGAAATCATATGGTTCTTAGCTTTCTTTGACTGACTTATTTCACTTAGCATAATGTTCTCAAGGTCCATCCATGTTGTTGCAATGGTTGAGTAGTATTCCATTGTATATATGTACCCCATCTTCTTTATCCAGTCCTCTATCACAGGGCACTTTGGCTGTTTCCATGTCTTGGCCACCATGAATAATGCTGCAATGAACATAGAAGTGCATATATCTTTGCAAATACATGATTTCAAGGTTTCCAGTATATACTCAGGAGGATTGCTGGGTCATATGGTAGCTCTATTCTCAATTTTTTGAGAAATTGCCAGACTGCTTTCCATAGTGGTTGTACCAGTCTATATTCCCACAAGCAGGGAAGGAGGGTTCACTTTTTTTCACAACCTCTCCAATACTTGTCTTGTTGATAATGGCCACTGTAACGGGTGTGAGGTGGTATCTCATTGTAGTTTTTATTTGCACTTCCCTAATTGCCAGTGAGGTTGAACATCTTTTCATATATCTATTGGCTGTTCATATAGCTGTCAAAGTTACAGTTAATTATGACATCTAAGTTTAAAACTTTTTTATCTCTTTGTCTTCTATTAAGTTTGGACATTTTATTTGGTAAACGCAAGTTTGGAAATCTTATTGGATATTTATATGTCTTCTTTTGTAAATTATGATTTGTGTCCTTTGTCCATTTAAAAATACATATATTTTTATTGATTTCAGAGAGGAAGGTAGAGGGAGAGAGAGATAAAAACATCAATGATGAGAGAGAATCATTGATTGGCTGCCTCCTGCACAGCCCCCACTGGGGATCGAGCCCACAACCCGGGCATGTGCCCTGACCAGTAATTGAACCATGACCTCCTGGTTCATAGGTCAACGCTCAACCATTCTTTTTTTAATTTAAGGGTAAATCTTTTCCTCGTTGATTTTTATGAGAACTTAGTATATTAAAGGTATTATCTATGTAAATAAAAATGTAAATGTTCGTTTGTTCAAAATCTTAAATCTCCGAAAGTTCTTCACCGATTGCTTTGAAATTTTGACGCGACGTTGCATTCGAATATGCGCGTGTTTTTATATACCTAGATAGACTATTAT